CAGTGGCTGCAGGAAGAGCTGGTCCCAGAGCCTGACGAGGGCAGCCCCGAGGCGGGCGAGGCCATCCTCTCAGAGAGGAGCTCAGGGCAGGACGCACTCCCTGCAGCGGAGCCCCAGGCCCTGTGTCCCGGCCGGGCGGGCACCTGCAGGATGAGGATGAAGTAGTCGGCCGGCTTGTTCCGGGTGTACAGGTAATGGCGCACGTAGTACTTGTTGTGCTCGTCGAACTTGAGCTCCTGAATGACGTCTGGATACTTGAGCAGCCGCAGCAGGATCTTCTCCGAGATCAGAGACGGGCTGAACTGGGGCACCTCTACAGGAGGAGAGGAGAGACCCAGCGCTGGAGCTTCGCCTGCCCTGCCCGTGTCTGAGCGCAGCGTGGCCACTCAGCCCTGCTCAGCCCCTCCCCTAACAGTGCGTGACCTTGGGCCGGTCACTCGACCTGCACGTCAATTTGCTCACCTATAGCGTGGGGATAAAAATGTCACGGGGGGGACCAGCACTTAGCGTAATGGCTATGTCGCTGGACTCCCACGTAGTTGACAATGGTTTGTGTCCCGGACCCAGTGGCTTAAACTCACGCCAGGCGCGTGTGCGTGCGTGCCCAAGATCCCGAGAGGAGAACGGAGGAGAAGGGATTGCAGCCTGGCCATCCTCCCTGGGGGTAATTTCTCGCTTTCTGTCTCTCTGTCTCTGTCTGTCTGTCTGGCGAGCGCACGTGCCCTATAGCAAAAACCTCTAAAGAAAAAGTCACAGGGTAGCTGTGAGTTACGTGGGAGAATGCCCATGCGCCACTTGGATGCGTTCTTGGCACGCGGGACGTGCTGAATAAATGTTACTGTAATGATAACCATCGTTATCAATATCATCAGAACCCTGGCAGGGAAACTAGGGAAGAAATTGCCAGGGCTTCCGTAAGTGAAGGCTGGGAGGAAGCGGATGTGAGGGAGGGCACGGGGCAGGCAGGTGACTCAGTCACCCAGGACCCCAAGGGAGCTTTGACTCAAGGGCGGGAAGGGAGAAATGTCACGGACATGAGGTCAGGCAGAGAGGAGGGAGACGGTAAGGACAGGGCTGGCGGCAGGAGGGCGGGGCATGGTGCACCCAGGGACAGTGACTGGCCCCTTCTCCTTCCTACTCCACTAGCCCCGACAGGCCTGGCGAGCCCACAGCCCACTTCCCTAGGACTCCCAGGGAAAACTAACAAAACCAACTCAGCCGCTTCCTGGAAATCTGCAGTGGCAACTCTAACAGGACAAAGGGATTGCAGGGGGGACCTAGGGATAGAGGAGGCGCCTGGCCTGGTCCCTTCCGAGGTGGCTGTGCTGTTTCGGCACCCGCTGCAGCCTCATCCCCTGGGGAAGCAGCCAGAGGCCCAGGATCTCACCCTGACGGCTCTCTTTCCATGACATCGACACTGGAAGTCCTACTCACGCACTCACCTGTGGCCAGGAAGCGGTGAGCAGCCAGCAGGAGCTGAGGCGAAATCTTCACCTTGAGCTCGTTGTCAGCATCCTTGAAGGCTGAGAAGTCGCGCTTGTTCTTCTCGGACACCCGTTTCCGGCTGCGGTTGTCAGCTGCAGGAAGAGCGAGGAGCTGAGGCTGCGACAGCCGGGGCGCTCGGGACAGACCCCCATGAAGGGCTGCAGGCCCGGGTTGGGCGGGGTCCCTGGAGGTGCGATGGCCAAGGAAGGAGGAAAGTGGCCTGCTCTCGGTGCGTGGCTGGCAGAGGGCCCCCAGATACCGGGCCTCAGGGCGCCAGGACCTCCTGCACCCCGTCCTGTGGCCTTGCCAGTGAAGGCTGCCAGGTTTCAGATCCGAGCAGGAGGACTCCCGCCGGCGGAGGGCAGAACTCACTGTATGTGTCCGACTCATCCAGGATCTCGGACTTGATGATCTCCTCGATGACGTCCTCCAGGGTGACCAGGCCCAGCACCTCGTAGAAGGGGTCCCCCTCGCCCTCGTTGTTCACCTTCTGCACGATGGCCAGGTGGGACTTTCCTGTGGGGGCAATGTGATGAGTCAGACGAGAGCCCAGGGCCTGTCACAAGGCTCCCTCCACCAAACTTCGGTCATGACTCATCAGGGCGAGGTCCCAGTGGCTCTTCCCCTTTTCCGGATTTTCTGATGTTTCTACTGCAAACAGATACTGCTTTATTAAAAGGGAAACCGGAAGTATTTTTTAAAGGTATTTCACTATGGAAAAGTTTCAATAGGAATAAAAATAGCAAAGGCCGACCTGTGGGCCCTTGTCATTTATCGGGGGCTCTGGGGGAGGAGGAAGACCCACGTGGACAAGGGAGAGGGGACCCTTGGTCAGGAACACATGTGTGCCAGGTGGGCACTGAGCTCTGTGGGCTGAGGTCCAGCGCTGACTACCGCAGGGCCTCCCAGCCACCTGGGTTCCTTGCACGGTTCCGGCGGCGGTTGTCAGCTGCAGGAAGAGCGAGGAGCTGAGGCTGCGACAGCCGGGGCGCTCGGGACAGACCCCCATGAAGGGCTGCAGGCCCGGGTTGGGCGGGGTCCCTGGAGGTGCGATGGCCAAGGAAGGAGGAAAGTGGCCTGCTCTCGGTGCGTGGCTGGCAGAGGGCCCCCAGATACCGGGCCTCAGGGCGCCAGGACCTCCTGCACCCCGTCCTGTGGCCTTGCCAGTGAAGGCTGCCAGGTTTCAGATCCGAGCAGGAGGACTCCCGCCGGCGGAGGGCAGAACTCACTGTATGTGTCCGACTCATCCAGGATCTCGGACTTGATGATCTCCTCGATGACGTCCTCCAGGGTGACCAGGCCCAGCACCTCGTAGAAGGGGTCCCCCTCGCCCTCGTTGTTCACCTTCTGCACGATGGCCAGGTGGGACTTTCCTGTGGGGGCAATGTGATGAGTCAGACGAGAGCCCAGGGCCTGTCACAAGGCTCCCTCCACCAAACTTCGGTCATGACTCATCAGGGCGAGGTCCCAGTGGCTCTTCCCCTTTTCCGGATTTTCTGATGTTTCTACTGCAAACAGATACTGCTTTATTAAAAGGGAAACCGGAAGTATTTTTTAAAGGTATTTCACTATGGAAAAGTTTCAATAGGAATAAAAATAGCAAAGGCCGACCTGTGGGCCCTTGTCATTTATCGGGGGCTCTGGGGGAGGAGGAAGACCCACGTGGACAAGGGAGAGGGGACCCTTGGTCAGGAACACATGTGTGCCAGGTGGGCACTGAGCTCTGTGGGCTGAGGTCCAGCGCTGACTACCGCAGGGCCTCCCAGCCACCTGGGTTCCTTGCACGGCTCTCCTTGGCAGCCAGCCCTGCAGCACCCAAGGGCTAATACTGCCCAGAGCCATTAACAAAGCAGCTCCCTCTGGTACCAGCAGTTGGCGTAATGGCTTTGTCGCTGGACTCCCATGTAGTCGACCGTGGTTCATGTCCCGGACCCGGTGGCTTAAACTCACACCAGGTGCATGTGCGTGCGTGCCCAAGATCCCGAGAGGAGAATAGAGAAGAGA